CGCGTTTCTGTCTCCTTTCTTGTCTCATTAATATATTCTATAATAATTAAAACAATAGTTTAAAAAAACTTTCTACTTACTCTCCTTGCGTTTGCACTCGACATGCCATTGGTCGACCTGCGAATATGATGATTAAATAATTTTATAGAATCGTGATTAAATTATATTAATAACGTCACTACATTCACCTGTCGTCATGATCCAGTAGCGTACTGCTGACACTAGAATTGGAGCTGGATAAGATATCTATTTTGTAATTCCGTCGTCTCTTTGTCAAATCAATCGACTGCCGCTCGTTATCGCTCCTCACAGTTTTCCGAAGTCCTGAGATCTCATTTCCGTCTCTGCGGTTCTCGACCGCCGCGAACGTCGTCGATTTGCGAATTTCCTCGTTCCCCCTATCCCTCATCAAATTATCATCTCCAGCAATGTCAAGCGAGATCCGCTTGTTACGCGACGCGGCTATCTGCGATGATTCGCTACTTTTCACGCTCGACACAATGCGATCTCGCGGAGGATCGATCTTCCCCTTAACCGCAGGGTGTCGCGTGTCAATTTCTGATTCGCGTGAAGATCCGGGGTCTTCTTTCGTCGACGAATATACAAGATTAACATCTGTTCTCGTTGGAGTTTCGTCGATAGGCTTCGATCTGACGGGGCTTACATCCGAGCGAACTCGCTCGTTCTTTATCTCCGAAACTTCCGACAATGCGAATAACACCTTCTTGTCCGCCGGGGTAACAATGTCACGCGTTTTCTCGCTTCTGATTTCCTTCACATCCGATTGCGCTACCTGATCGGTCTGCGTGATAATTTTGTTCGCGTCTTGGTCTTTATTGGATGCCCGGGCATCGTTCGATTTATCTTCTCGAAGCCTTTCGTTATTTACATCGTCTTCTTTATTCCCGAGTACCGCGGTAACCGAATCGACAGCTTCCATTTCACGTTCCCCCTTCGATCTCGCAGATGTAATTTTCGTAGATAAATGTTTGGAATTCTCATCGAGGTTTTCAACGTCACTACGAATATCGGAGATCTGTCTTAATGACTCAGCCTCCGAGTTTCCCTTGCTGTTGTTCTTGCTGTTATTCTTAGAACCTCGAACAAGCTCGAAATGAACTGCGGAATGAACGTTTTCCTTCATTTCCGGAAACGCGGGAGAGACGGAAAAATATTTATCTGGATTCCCGGAATCTTTCGATTTGTCGGCGATTAGCCCGGTATCGCTGGCGTTATTTCTTGCTCGCGTTCGCAAAATTGTCTCCTCAATTGCGTCTGACGCTACATTCGTCCGCATCAAGGAACCAGCGATGTGCCGAGGAAGCGTCCCCTCCTTCTTCGGATTATTTTCATCGACGCCTTTGTCTGTTTGATTTTTAGCCTCGATCGGAACAGTCTTTGCAACGTCCGCGCTTTCCGTCAAACCCGTGTCTCCCTTGCTATTATTCTCAGGGCAAAGCTTTCGAATAGACTCGCAACGGGCCGTAGAGCTCTCTCTCGTTTCGCGACATTCGGAAAAGTCGACAGAGTGCCCGCCGGGACTTTTGAGCTCGTAGGAACTTTTGTCAACCCGTCCGATCTCGCTCGCGTCGATTTTCGCTCGCGTTTGTCGCGTCTCTACTTCTCGCGACGTTAACCCGTCGATCGCGATCGGCGGTACTTTCATTTGGGCTGAGGAATCGGGAATGTTTCGAGGAGACGTTTCCTTGTCGTTCGTGTCTCCTTGGTCCGGCTGGCTTTTAACGTTAATCAGAATATCTTTCAGAATATCCAAGGTTTCCGTTTGACGCGCGTCGCGGATCGATTCGGCCTCGCGCAAGTGATCCAGGAGCTTCTGCACCGCCGCGGGCGTGACCGCCGACTCCTTCAAGGCGTTCGCGACCTTCCCTTCGAGGCTCTGTTTCTCGTCCTGCAGGATGTAGGTGACGAACCGGTCCGTGGCCTGGAACGTGTCCTTCCGGGAAAGCTGCGCGAAAATTCCGTCATCGGTGTATTCCTTCCCAGAACGACGAATTCCGCGCTTGGAGAGTTTGCTCGCAGACGTGACGCGCGACCTCGCGTCCGCGTGACGATAACCCCGAGCGATTTCCTCTTCCCGAAGACGACACGTCTGCGTCGTCTCCGTGCGCGTGCTGGATAGCGCGGGTACCAGGTTGGAGAACGTCGTGGCGTCCGATCTGTCCATCGACGATTCCGACAAGCCCGCTTTAGCCGATCGTTGAGCCTTATCGCTGTCGCGAGTTGTCCTGAGATCGTCGCTCGCGTCCGACGCGGGAAACACGCTAGATTCGACGGAGTTCTTCAAGTAATTGCCGCGAAAATCGTTCTCCCTCGCGGAAGCCGACGATTTCGTCCCTGCCGCATTTGTTCCCTTCGGATCTTCATCGGTTCGACGTATCCCTGAGACCGTCAAATCCTCGTTTCTCAGCTCAGTTTCTAGAACTGACGATCGAGTCGGCTTGTTCAATGAGTACTTGTCACTCTTATCGGCTGACGAGTCCCGACGAAGGTTATCATGATTCGCGTCTTGCGGCACGCGCTCGTCTTCGTCCAGCTTGTACATCGCGAATTCAGGGCCTGATAATAAATCCGAAAGATTCCTGGCCGTGCGAACGACGCGCTCGATCTTCCTGTCGTTGAAGTGCAAGATTGAATCCAAATCGTCGAGCCGCGGCTGATACAAGTCGATCTCGTCCAAGTTCAAGTCTTCGCTGGCGTCATTGCGCAATCCATCCCGTCCTTTATAACTACTGAACGAAAAGTGTCCATCAATCGTCCGATAAAGTAGCGGACTTTCCGCCTCTCGGCAACGGGAAGCGATATTTTCGCGCCGTGGAAAACCCGTTTTCCTTGAGGTGTCGCCGGCAAGCGACGGCTTTGATCGATCACCTTGGTTTTCCTCTGCCTCGATCTTATCTACAATGTTTTCGTCATTTCGCGGACGATCAGCATCGCTCCTCTTGCGGAATATTCCGCCATTCTCCGCGTAACTGATCTCCACATCACCGCCGGAGGCAATTCTCTCGTGATTCTCGTTTCCCGCTTTGTTCTTCAATTTTTCACTCCTATCGGTTCTCGGAGTCTCAATCACAGCGAATTTAGCCGCTTCTTGACTCGTCACGTTTTTCAGACATACGGATATTCCCGTGCCTTCGGCATTCTGCGAGTCGTGCCTTTGATCCTTGCTCTCTCGTCTGTGAATTCGGGCCGTTGGAGATTCGATTCGTCCGTCGTCTTGTCCGGAATCGGAGTTCCCGACCTTTTCAAGGTCCTCTTCCGACTTGCTTGCGGGATTCGTCGGTACCGCTTCCATAATCAACTTTCCGATCGGTTTCTCTCGTTGTATCGTGTCCAATCTCACGCGCCGAGTTCTCGGCGTCCCTTCCGGGTTATCCACGCTCTGGATGACATCGTGGCGCAGGGTGTAAGTAGCCGTATTTGCGCGGCTCTGCGCCCGGGACGATTCCGGCGAGATGTGCACATCCTCCAGGTCCTGCCTGGTCAGTTCCCGGTCGACGATGTGCACCGACGGCCCTATTTGGATTTCGCATGTGTTCCCCCGCGCCGACGACGTCCGCCGACGATCGCGAGCACGATCGTCGCGTGCCGTCGTCTCGTTCGCGACCCCCTCGAGCGACGAGTCCCCGGACGGCACTCGGGCAGGCGACGCACGTCCACGCGACCGATCGTCGCTTCCGTATCCTAAGGACGACCAGTCGGCACGCCGTCGTCGCGACACCCGAAATTTCGGCGCCGACAAATCGATCCTGCGAACGGTAACGGGAGGAAAGTCGCGTTTCTCCGTTTCACGCGCGCTTGCCTTGCCGTTCACCTCCGATAACGCTTTCGAAGAGCACGCATCGTGAAATTTGGAAGCCACCAGCTCGCGAACGTACAGCCGCTCTTCCATCTCGTCGTCCCACGGCGGCTCGCCCGAATATCTGAACGCACACGATAATATAAATTATAAAAAATATTATTACGTAAAACATTATATAAAATAATAAATAATATATTGAAGAATTAGATAAAATCTGATTTGCACTTCATTAAAACTAGACACCGTTTTACTATATATATATAATTTAAATTAAAGTATATGTATATGTAATTTAAATTAAACGAGTAACTTTTGAAATTAATACTTTTATAAAGAAGTATGACGGCAATATATTATAATATAAATTACAATGCAAGCTGTGCGACGAGAAAAGCAATTGTGGAAAAAGAGATAACTTCTAAATAAAATACGAGATGGAATGTTCCTCTGTCTGTAAAAAAAACCAGGTTTTTTTTACTCACGTATTTTTATTCCGTCGTGCAGAATCGAAGCTCGACGTTGCGCAGACTTCCATGAGTTGTATCTTTGCATTGTTAATGATCTTCTCGGCGTTTTCGAGCGCGATAGACGTTTCGGGACTTAATTCGAGATTAGGAGGCTGCGCTTCTGTGTGTGCCAATCGGTTCGTGTCAGGCTGCAACGGATAACGTAATTATCGTGAAAAGTATATTCGGATGACTAAATGTTGGCTAAATAAACTCGTAAATGTTCAATACCGTTCTCTCGTTGGTAACGCGTGTCGCTCCTTTATCCGACTCCCTGCCGTCTTTGGAAATTCTATTTGTGACAATCGATTTTTTAGATACGGCAGTCGCAGGATGCCGATTCCCATTGTGTATCGCGATATCGTTATCCTTTTTGCGCGCTGCAGTCCCCTCCTGTTTGCAATAACACGTGCGAACGGAAGTCATCTCCCCTGGAGGCGTCGTAGAGCAGACTCCGTTGTTGCACGTTTCCGGAGAACTCGAATTTTCGCTGTAACAAGAAAGAGATATCCCTCTGGAATAACATTTTCCTCCACGTCGTCATTATTTTTAAGATTTAAAAGAGAATTTTAAAAAATCTTTATCGTAAAAGAATAATAAAACGAAAAACAATTGTCAATGAATCAAACAGGAGATGACACATGTATTAATCGCTATCTGTCGCATTAATTATTTAAATGCAGCAAACTGCGGGTGAACTCAATAACTTTTATCGAGTTATCAAATGAAGAAAGTTTCCGCGCGCGCGCAAGCGGTGGTAAATAATTGGAGTAATCACCCGTTACATTTCCGACCACGTGTCACGTTAACAGAGTGTGAAAATATAATGCGACCGCTCTTTAACGTGCGGCATACAATAATAATGTGTGTCGCATTCTTACAATGAAACATTTAACAGCTAAATATCCGTACGTAGTGACCTAACAACATCTATATCGTACGCTTTAAAATATGCATCAATTGGCAGGCACGATGCGCGGCGTCCTTGAACATGCACGTGGCGTTTAACCCCAATTATAATAGACAACGATGTGAGTGTGATTAAAAAGAAAAGAATCACGAATCATCGTGCGTGCACACGTGCAATTACGAAGAATACACTCTCTCCTTCAACAGCAAAGATGAAACGTTAAACCTTCCACAGATATGTATAACATTTTCTGTACTCTATGTGATATGTATGTATATATGTATATGTATATACATATATCACATATGTATAATTATATATAAAATTCTATTATACTTGAAAAAATTATTAATTATGTAATATATTTCTACAATCAAGATTAGCACTTTCGTTTATTTGGGAGATAATCTTATTGAAATTAATATAAAAGCACGAGATAAATTCGGGTGAGTGTATAAAATAAATATAGAAATAACTGTTCCTATAGCGAATGGTATATCAATCAAAAACGCAATAACTCGGATAGAGAGAACGGAAGAACGTTGGCGTTACGTTCGAGCCGCAAAGGCGGGTTCAAGGACCGGCGATAATAAAGCTCTGAAGCTCTCTCTCTCTCTCTCTTTGAAGCGGGGGTGGTCGCCCTCCCGTTCGTTCCAGCTCTTTCCCGACTACGACTGGAAATCAAGCGGTTCCCGCACTACGTTCAGCTACGTCGTCGTACCTTCTGCGATCCCGGCCGGCTGCAACCGACACGTTTCTATAGACAACAGTATCGATTCTTAAAGGGGAGACCAAATTTGCGCGTCGGAGTCAACTGCGAGCGCTTTCGTCGCTATAGCTGTTAAATTACATCGAGATTCTCCTCACCCGGCGCCGATTTATGTCTCTTTCGATTTGACCATTCCAGAATTATTCCAGAATTACTCCGACATTTTAAGGGGAAACGAATTCCGCGAAGAATCAGTAAAGAAAGCAAAAAAAGAGGAACACGGTGCGGCACAAGGATATTCTCCGGCCGATACCGCTCGTATAGCGTTTGACCTGTGAATAACACGCCGGCGGCGCTTTTTGCTGCGCGAGTAACTCGCGCGTGAAACACGCGCGTTACACGGATGACCGTTTCTCGCGTCTCGTCCCCCTATGCGTCATCGCGCGCCCCGCGGACCTCCGCCGTCCCCGGCGTGGACGCGTCCACGGGGAAAATCGCGTTGGCATTTTTTCAAAGGAAATGTCAACGCGCGAGGCGTGCCGCAACAAAGCAGATGCATCTCGGCCGGCGCGCGGCGCGACGCGGCAAGGACACTAATTTTAAGCGAAAGGCCGGTGGAGATGCCGATCGGACGTCGGATGACGTCAACGATCCTCTCTCTCTCCGGCTATACTACACGCGTTTAGCCACCCGAGAAACCCTCGGCCGCTTTAACGCTTCCTCGCGCGCGTGCTCGATAACAGTACGTCAAAGGTACGTAATGCACGACGTCCTTTAAAGACGATGGACCGACGCTGGTGTCGACTCGTCCGTTCGACCCAAGAAGATTCGCGCCTTTTCGCGCTCCGCGACCGGTCACCGACCGTGCGCGCGGCGAGACGTTCTCATTCGCTCAGAAATACAAATTAAAATCCTTTACATAATCACAAAAGACTCGGGGAGAACAATTTCAAAATGATAAAATATAAATCCATGAATGTATATTTATAAGTTTTAAGTTGATATTAATTCGCCCTTTCGAGAATCTCCGATTTAAATGAATTCAATCTCTTCAGTCTTCAATTTTTAAAAGTACGCATGACCGTCTCATTTTGCATTTCATTTCTTTGCGACCTACATTTTGATTTTGCGACCGTCGCAGAGAATTTTCGAGGGTCATTTACGAATCGAGTGTAAGAACGTCGCGTCAATCTTACGATCGCTCTAATGTGGCCTGAAAACATTCTTATCGCTGCATTTCGACGAAATGCGCGTGCGGCGCGTATCTAATCTTCGAAAATCGTGGCGATCAACGTGCACGGGGAGCGCGGCTTTTGTTTGCAGGGCGGGGTGGCCAGGGAGTCTCTCGATGTCTCACAATTTTATCTGGCGGGCGCGATCGCGAAGGCGCGATCGTCGCCGGCTCGCGTTAATCACCGCGGTTGTAATTTACGCGACGCGCTATCGCGCTCGGCTTTCGTCACCCTGTTACGGCGAGTTATCAACATAATAACGGTCTTCGTGCATGGTAACGGTCGGGAATGTTGACCCTTAAAGGCGAAAGACAGCTCGGCCGCGAGAAAAGCCGCGACCCGAGAAGAGCTTTTGCGAATTCCGCACGGAACCGAGAGACGGAAAGAGAGAGAAAAGCTTTTTCTTTTGCAAATTAAACTGATACGCATGATCTTTATGTTGCGCATTTTTAGGGCTCTCTGCACGTTTTGGTTTTTTATGCCGCACCCAAGGATACGTAATCAAAAATCTCCGTCGCCGTTAACTTTTGCGCCACAACCGCAACATTTCGAGTATACAAAGAACTGTCAAAAATATTTGTTTTCTTTCATTCTTAATACGCGTCTTTCGAGAAAAATTACATTTCCAGTTTTCCGTTGGATTAACCCAATTTCGCAGAGACGATGGGGGAGCTCCCCACGCGTAATTAGTCCCATTCAAGAAAGAACGATCTTATTTGCCTGGTCCATTCGTCGTGGTTTATATATCATGTATCATGGGCGTTGAATAATTTACGTCTCATCCGCTTTAAGCGCGCGGAGTCATCGCGCAACGCTATATACGCGCGCGGGGAGATGGTGGCTTCCGAGCCGTCTGGAACGTGCACAGATCAATATTCCGCCACGTTGCGTTCCCCGTTCCGCCCCCCTTCCTTCATCCCACCCACCCCAGCTGAATATTGGCATTGATTTTCACGGTTCGGGAGGGCTCGCGGCCCCTCGCCCCCCTTCGCCTCCCCCTCGACTGCGGACCCCAGGCGGAACGTTCGGGCTTAAGGTCGTTGTATACGTTTTCTGACGTACACATATATTTATGTATGTATATACATGCATACACACATTTCGCAATGCTCTCAGGAGCAGAGATCGCTGAAGTCTGGAGGATGATCATAATATCTAAAATTCTGTCTCGTTTTCCCAAATCGACCACTTTCATTAGAGACTTTTAAATTTAGATCGCAAATATTGGCGAATATACGAGGGGCACGCTGCCGTTTTAAATCTTACAATAGAAAATGAAAAATTGAAGCTGTCTAGGATAATAAAAACGTGACGAAAATTGACACGTCACGGTCGACCCTCCCGTTTGCCGTATTCGACGGCGTGATAAAAGCTCAGCGTGAGAAACAAGGGAGTAAATAACAAACGTATTACAATCTACGTAAACTTTCGCTGTCAAACCATTTCGCTGCATGATATCAGACTGGGATAAATACGCTACAATTTGACGGCGAAAGTTCGTGCGGAGGTGGTTGGAATAAAAGAAACGCATTCGTTCACATCAACACATATATTTTGTTTTTGCTTGTTGCATACATACGATAAACAGTACAATGTTACGCGTTCCTCGAGGTATGGTATACTAGAAAATTTTCATTATCCACTACTACAATTGCTATTCGACATATTGTTTCGTCATATCTCTTCGACTTCTTCGTGTATCTGCGTTAGCTATACGAGAATCGTTCAAGAAGAAAGGAAAAAAAGGGGGGAAAAACAGAAAGAAGGACGATAGGAGACAAACGGAACGAATCACGATACGAGCGTAAGAGTTCTTTCGCCTTCGATCGGGGAAGGACTATCGCGCGTCCCTCCGTGCGCGCCTCATCGAAGAGAGAAAAGCCGAACGTGGCGACTTTGGGCGGCTTGGTCGTCGTCGTCGTCGTCGACAATTGACAATCGGATGGAAAGCGAGCGGAGTTGCGCGATTATCTCAACGTAATCCCGAGCGTCGTCGCGACGCTCCGCAACCTCCTTGTTCCCTGCGCGCCCCAATTCCCCGCTCATCCCCGGTCGACCGTTAATAATGACATCGACGACAGCAACGGAGACAGATGGAGGGATAACGTCAAGCAATCTCGATAATTACCAATTAATTCGTATCGCGGAGTTTCGTACGACAAAGCACCGTCTTGAGAAACGAGATCCTGCTGCGGAATTATTATCCAAGAGAGAGAAAGATAGAAAGAGAGAGAGAGATACAACGGATATACATATACGGAAAGTATGATCGGACGTGGAGAATGATACGGCACGCGACGACCAAGCCCCCGTTGTCGAGAGAGGATCTCTCTCCGTTTACTCCGGTACAAGGATTCATTACGGATTTAATACGTTAAAAGGAGAGCGCGAGCTCGCGGGTTATCGCGCGCGCGAGAGAACAGATGTTATGCGTGAGAAAGATCGCGACCCGCCACCGCCGGGTTCTGGCCAAGTCAAGGGTTGTCTCCACGGGAGAGCTACCCCCTCGGCCGGAACTCGACGGCGAGGGCCGCGTTACAGTTGTAAAAAGTATTGCTATCGAGCGCTCCCCTCGACGTCTACGTCGTCAGTTGTTGCGCGACGCTTAAGCGCGTCTAGACTTACAATGTTAGCGCGTATGCGTCACAGGAAGATCAACGTAATATGCAAGGAAAACTTAGGGAGAGCGCACGCATGCTTATCGACAATATTCATGCGTACATGCAGTTGTTCAATATATTTTGTGTCTAATTGATCGGCATTAGGTGCGAGAGACGCACATCTCACGGGATACACGCCCTTCTCGCGCTCGGTACTGAAAGAAAGGAATAAAATATATTTAACAATCTGTGTGATATAATAATCGCTTTAAAACTTTCGCCGATAAGTGGACACAACGCATCCGTGTCTCTCGATTTTTTTACTTCTTTTTACCCGTCAGTTTTAATTACATGAGCAATCGAATCACGACCGCGAATGCGCGATCGTAACATATATTGGTATCATCACACTGGTAACTTTAACGGCTTAATAACATTACAAATTTAGACGCACTTTAAGCAGAGACGCCGCTTCGCGCGAGACGTAGCTTCGAAATATCACTCGTCGCCGCTAAATCGAGGAAGCGTACCGTCGACGAGAAGGCGGAGGATATCTCGAGCCTCGGTGAAATCCGTCCGCGGCACGAGGCGCGACACAAAAAAAATGGTCTCTCTCTTTTCCTTTTAATCTTCTATTTTTCCGAAGCGCTCGTTCCCCCGCGACAACTTCCGACAACCGCTCCCCTTTCGCTTATGGTATGTGTATGTGTCTGTACGTGTACGTGTGTGCCGATCTGTTTTGTACAAATATATACAAAAGGAGCCGCCCGCGCGCGCGCGTGCCTAAGAAAAAAAACGGACACCCCTTCCCGCGAGAAGATCCGCTCGATCGTCGCGCGGGAAAGGATTCCCCCTCGGGCGCGTCCAGCGAGTGCCTCTGCCTGACTTTTCTCCCTCTTCACTCTGTTTTTTTTTTATCGTTTAGACATAGCGAGTATGTGGTTCCTATTTTGACGGGCGTGCCTTTTTCATCGGTGAAAATGAAAAACCAAAAGGCCCTCGACTTAATGTCTAGCGCATAAACTAAAGGCGAAAGTGGACGTTGTACAGTCGGACATTATCATATTACATAATCCGCTTTACGGATGTGACTGGATGGCGCGATGTGCTCACGTGTCTCACGTGACTCTTCTACTTTTTTTTTCTTGTTACCCCCCCCCCCCCCCCGAAGACCAGACGAGCGCGATTGTAAGGAGTGCGAGTAAAACGCAACGTGTGCCCTCGCGAGGTCTCTACCACGCCAAAGAGCGCCTTTTAAGAGACGACGACATACAACTTCGCAAGAACGAAAAGAGAAAAAAAGAGACGAAAGAAAAAAGAGACAGAGGATAATAATAATTTAATAAGACAAAACGCAAAAACGAATATAGATCACTTTTTGTACACTTAAAAAACGTTAAAAATTCGTTTAGTTATACGCTTTATTAATAATATAGGTATATACACATATACACAATGTACAGAAAACCCGTGCGCTGGGTCCGAATTTCCGTCATATGTTTATTATATAATACAACGAGCGAAGAGTATAGGTAGAAAGAGTATACAAACGAAAGAATAGAAAAAGGGGCGGCGATAACCGCGGAGACGGATACTTGTCTCTCGCGTTAGTCATTAATTAAATCCACGAGTTCCAATCATTCGATTGGGCGAAAAAAAAAAATAAAGTACAATGCGATCGCGTGCGTTTCGCGATACCAAGTCAATGTTTCCGTTTCGAGGTGTGCGTGAAACGTGTTCTGGTATTTTGTGTACATGATGCGTCTGTGTGTTGCATGTATATGTATGTCTGTAGTGTCTATGCGTGTGTCTGTGTGCGTGTATGTGTGTGTTGTAAAAGAACGCAAGCAATTATGCCCGCGATACAAGAGACAATGAAGAAAGGCATCAAGCCTAAGTACAAACCCAACCGGGCAACAAATTATCAGCATCATCAAATGCCGTCGCGATTTTCAACGTCGCGCACTGCTCCTCTAACCCGCGAAAAATAATGCGCTGCTTCCGTCGTGTTAATCAACCGCTCTCTACGAAATCCGTATGTACATGTATGTAGCAGAACAATCGACCGCCAGTATACAATTTGCCAAAGACTTCTTCTCAAAACCGGTCACAAAAGATAAAATACCGTACGACATCGATCACATTATCAAAACGCGTCATTACCCGTCGGCTTCGAATAAAATCAAATCGTCCACTTTCCCTCCCCCAACCCTACCCACCCTTTTCTTTGCCCTCCCCTTTCATAACCCCCCCCCTTATCATTGACGTCAACAACTTCGTGAGAATCCGTATCGTACCAGACAACGTCTTTGGCTCGAGTCGTTCGTTGGCTCTCCCGCGTGTCGCCAACGAGTCTTTATCACCGTTACCAAAAGCGCTCGGTGAAACCCTTCACGGTTCCAACCATATAACAGCCCCTCTATACAAAGAGGGACAGAAAATTTGAGCCCTGATTCGACATTGAAAGAGGGTTTTTAAGTTTCTCTCTCCTTCTTGACTTTGAGCCCGGTGCCCGTGGTATCCTCGCCCAGGATGGTAGCTATCTCACCCTGCATGAAGGCCCACGGTACCTGACTGTTCGCCAGCGGGCATTTCTCACCGCTCGGACAATAAACCTGAAACAAGAAACAAGAACAAAAACCGATGAGTATCGTTGATGGAATATTTAGGACTAGAACACCAATGCGCGATATCCAGGGTACTCACCTCCGAGCCAGCACCCTGTCTCTTTATGCTGTCCCGACTGCACGGGAAGCAGAACTTGTGGTGCGGTACGCTGGGACACTGCACAAAGTGTGTGTCCTCCAGGCGTTCCTGGCATAGCGTACACTTGAGGGTCGGCGCCGTGACTGGTTCAGCACCGGCAGCTTGAGCGACCGCACCTTCCGAGGACGTCGTCACGGTTGTCGATGACACCTGCCTTGAACTACTGGACCGTCTGCCCGAGGAGCCTGTAAATTCACACAATTTTTTGCGACGTTATTCAACGTTGCGTTATAATCTTACCAGAAGTTTGATTTTAACATTTTAAAAATTCGTTCTATAATCGTACGATTCGCTCAATAAATCTGATAAGACGCAGGTGTATTCTATATAAACATGAATGACCATATCAAGATGATAGATATAGATAAATACAGTAAGTACTGGTGCAATTACCTGAACTGTTCGGGCTGTGCTGGGAGCCTCTAGAAGCACTGCGTTGCTGAGCGTTCGCAGCCGTGGTCGGCGGACTTCTGCTAGTAGGACTGGGATTGTTCGGTGGCTGTGGCACCGGCTCAGGCGATGTCAGATTGTCAGCGACTGACATTAGGGCGGCCATCGGTGACGGACCGTTCGCCGTGCCCTGAAAGAGGAAGTGTCACACTCAGTTGGCATTCTAAGATTACAGGCTTATAATGGACTCGCTCGCGTAGGCGTTCAGCAGGCCAGAAGGCGCGCAGAAACGTTGATTGCGCGCGTATAAATATGGACCGTCGCCTATTAATGGACCGGCTGAAGCTGCGCTAGCTGATAATTAACATGTATCTCGTGCGTACCTGATGATGATTCGATTGCGAATTGTCGTTGGCGCCTTCCTGACTCGGCGGCGGCGGCGGTGGAGGACTCGTTCTTGGACGAAGAGGCGATCCTCCACCATTGGCCGCGACGTTGGTCGGTGCCAACGGTATGGACGGCCCAACATATGCTCCTGAAAATGTATATACCGTCAAATGCACGCTCTAATTTATTATATTTCCGGATATATAACAGCGTAAACATGCAAAATATCGAAGCCCTGGGAACTTTCCGAGGCGGATATTCAGGAAAGAATATTCACACGACATTCAGGAGTTTGCGCGAAAAAAAGATAATAATTATGTAAATATAGGATAAGTGCAAATTATGCAGTTTCACTTTTTGCCTCCTTACTTTTAACTTGTTTACTTTGTACCGTTTCAGTTTTTTTTCTTCAAAGAATACATATAGATAATTGTTTTATTTTCCTTCAAGATATGACTATGTCATCGAGCGCCTTTTTTAGTAGAGTGAGCTCATAAATTATTTTTAATGCGCAAAGTAGAGAATAGTGACATCCCGCAATGTAATCGAATTTAAACACAGCTAGGTTCTCGCAGTTATTCAGCGCGGTTTCTTTTGATGCGTTACGTTCGTTTTTCCTTCTTTTTTTTCTTTTTTCAATCGAAACACGGTTTTTGGAAAAAAATGAACGGACTCGGGGAGCGAGCTTGTTAGGGGTTTCCCCGAGGGTAAAGTGCAAGTGATCGATACGCGCGGCGTAACACGGCGAGTGATCGTAATTTATCGTGAGTTGAGATTGTCCTTGCCCACGTCCACTTTTTGCCATGTGCAATCTGCGCGGAATGTTTCCCCCCTTATAATAATCGCCTTTATAGCACAATGACTTCATTGGCGAGCAGAAATAAATGTCGTTTTTCTTCTCGACGCCGACGTGCCGATAATGGTAGCGAAAACGATTGCGAGGAACGAGGCGAGAATAGAAGTTAATCGTTATCCGCGCACGTTAGATTACGTCAGTAACGGCGTTTCCCGAGCTCGCTCGATGGACCTTGAATCCGAGATCTCCGCGAGATCCTACGTGGATCCCCGCGTGCCTCGACGAGGAGTTTTCAGTAAGCTAAAATACCTTCTAGTCGTTAACGAAGTTAAATATATTTGACCTTTGACTTCTCCAAGTAGAGAACGCCTGTTCCTGAAAATATTCTATTATCAATTAACCGATGTTAAAAATTAAATAGAAATCCAAGTTAAGGTGTCTTTATCGCTTTAAGATAAAACCTGCATCATGTATCGAAACTTGACGGAATTGTTACCCGCGATTTTAACCGTGATAAGTATATTAGCGAGACCATTAATTTCTCAGAAGACACTTTTGTCGCGATGACACAACTAAAAAGTTTTTATCAGCTGTTATGCAAATAATAACGTAAATTTCTGGAGATGACAACATCGCCGCTCATCGATTTCATCTTCGTGAAAGGGGCTTATCGCTACGTAGGTACACCGAAAGAGTCGGCCTTATTCGCGACAGTTGTAAAATCCGCGCGTCGCCACGAGGCGGTGCATTTCGATAATGTTTACTCGCGGGCGAGCCACTTAAGAAGCAGCCGAGGCGATTAACACGCAGGTCGCATACGAGCAACGACAACGGCGACGACGACGACATATCATCACGGCACACGGCCACGTTACCGTATTGCGTCGTATCGTCATTGGCCTTCGACACGCGCCGATCGTTTACCCGATGTTTTATGTATCGCGGACCGATTACTCCTTTCAGTCACTATACGTTTTATCGTGGTCGCACATAATATATATTTTCTGTCAACGTTACAGTTCCCACATGCATGCCCCTCGTGTCTCTTTCTCGCGCTGTTCCCGTGATCGGCGCGAGCTAGCAAGAACGTCGCAATTGGATGACTGATAATTTTAAATCGTCTCAAGGTATTTGTATATTTTTATCAAAGTCGAAAGCAGAATTTTCACAAAATCGCCTCAAATCTAGGAATAAATGTTTTATCCCATTTTTCCAAGAACTTGGATTTTTTTTCTAACTTTAATACAAAGCTCTCTCTCTCTCTCTCTCTCTCTCTCGATGGACAAACGACAAGACTCTTATATCAATCCGTTCGAGGCTTATAATTTCCGTAATTTTTGTACATTCCATTTATACAGCGTGTATGTCGAGATCAAACTTCTAAGAATTGTCAGCGCGTCTCGAAGGATTAAGTGGAGCGGCTCATTCCGAGAATGCAACGCGCGATATAACGCGCATAATAAGCAGCGGGACGAGCATCTTTTTTCTCTTACGCCGATCGTAAGTCGCGCGATTTGTACGTCTCGCTGCACTCGCCTGGGTGCCTCTCTAATCGTAGTCACGATCCCGTCGCGAGCGAGCGGAATACATACTTGCTTCAATTACGCGCATTTGGCGCGACGCCTTTGTACGCGCGCGTCGAGCGACTCCGTCTTCGACCCTGCGCGGGTTTCCGCTCACGTACGGTCGTTATTCGTCAAACGAAATACGCTCCAGGATACGCTCTCCCCGACCACCATCCGGAAACTTACGAAACTTCGGCGTCCACCGCCCCCCAGCCCGCCCCGGAATTCTCGGCGTCTTTACGATTACGCTTGAATAATTTGATAAGCGTGATGGGTCGAACTTTGAAACACGATATCCCTCATTTGAATTCTATGTTTAGCATATCGTGGCTGCCTGATATCGGGGATCTTTTTTCGTCCGTCGAAAAAACGCGTGGACGATGATGTTATCGCGGGACCGAAAGAAACCGATTTGTCCACGCTTGTAAACTCAATTAAGCGAGATTACTACAAAGTAGCGCGATAGCGTGTTGTTTACGAGAGTTTCGGAGTTCGATTCGCGGTGTACTTTCGAGGCGCACGTGGCGTTCACGTTGACCCCGGAATGTCGCGCGAAAATAACACTTGGATGATCCGCGCGATTATATCGGTAACCCTAGAAAATTAATATGACTAACGAGAGTCAATATTTAATCGTCAAGGTTTGACACGCGTATCCACGATGATCGTGAACAGAATGCTATAATCTGTCAGATAAAACAGAAGTCCCGTACGAGTCCCGGGGCAAACAGGAGCGGCGTTCTAAAATCCAATCTACAACCGCGTCGCCGGTATTGAAACGTCGATAATAATCCACGACCGTAAAGCGATCCCGTGTAGCGATTCTCTCTCTCTCTCTCCGCCTCCTGTTTTTGCAAATACGAAACGTCATCCTCGTCCGTCAAGTGCTATTTTTAACTGCGGAGCTAAAATATACGCGCGCGGAGCGCCTGTGTATCAACACGCCTCTGCGTAAGGCGCCTCGCGGTACATGTACGTCGAATGCATCTCTGCACCCGAGGGTTAGAGGTCCGGTGGCGACGCGGCGACGGGAGGCGACGAACGCGAGAGAGGAACAACTCGTATATAATACACATACCAACGAGCGGCCGACTTGTTGGCCGCGCGAGCGAGCGAGCGAGGAAGGAATCATCATTCGGTCACGGCTGTTCGCGGTGACACGCAATCCCGCGCGCAGATACGCGTCCTCCGCTCCCCGCGCCTCCCGCCCGTAGTATGACGGTGTGTACGCGCGCGAGTCACCGAGGCCTCGCCTACGGCATACGGAGCAGATACGGGGGTACGGCAGCAGGGAGGGAGAAGGACAGATAGAGTGCCACCGGGTAGACGTGTGACCGGTACTTTTCCGTGACGGCTCCGATAGAGCGCCGAGAGGACCGGCGACGACGTCTCTTCATCCTCGCGAGATTACGCGAGAAGAAAGAGGAACGTTGTGAAGCGAGCGAAACGGACGGTGGGGCGAGGGGGAAAACGTATGCACGCGCGCCCGCGCGTTCGAGTCTCTCTCTCTCTCTCTTTTTCTTTCTTTCCGTAACCGCGACACATCGCATCACGCACGTAGGCGGCCGCGCGGTTGTTAGTCACACACTCGATCAGGGCCGTGCCGAGCGTGCGCTCGCGATTTATTCGTAGCGGCTCTTTCGCGTTGCGCGCACCGCGCCGACTCGGTTTCTTCCTCGGAACAGCTGCGCGGCATTCTCGCGGTTTCCCGGTAAACGAACTTGTTTCTGTCGCCGCTTTCGGACGTTCAATTTAGCCAGCGCCAAAGCACGCCGCCGCTGAAAGATCAGGGAGGCGGAAACGGCGTGAACACCGGGAGGAGATCCGACGAGAACTTTAGGTAGAAGAGAGTCGCGGTATAAGGAAACTTGTGCTCTAGAGTGACATGATTGGCGTTTGGTTCCTTCATATCGATTTTCCAAGAGGTCATTTTCCCAGAATTAATACCGTTCAAAATCAAATAATGTTGAAATTTGCACAGAATTCAAATGGAACATTTTTCAATCTTCATTTCTCGAATTTTTCTTTTATTTGTCAATCTTGGTTTCTCGGACTTTCCCATTTATAACGAAAACCACACGTGTTGGTCTGCAATCTCGATCCTTAAACAGACATTTCCTTCTGTTAGTTACAAATGAAACCTCAGTCAGTTCTCGTTACACCGTTCACTTTATCTGATAACATTAAGTTTGGTTTTTAGAAAAAAAAAAGGCAATCTAATCGGACGCTCCGTCAGCATCATTGAGCGTCGCTAGAATATATTCGCACAGCTATTATGCGTTTAATAAAATTGAAAAGATTAACGTCGCGCAAACAGATGCAGAAATATACACATCGTTATCGGAATGTATTTTTATGCACGGTAACTAGCGGTTATACGCGATTACACCAATACGCGTACGGCGATGGAAAAAATGTATATTTACGATGTTTATGCTGCCGTTTCTGTCGCTGAAATAAAATTTTATTATTTTCGATGACTCACAGTTAAAAGTGTTAAAACGCACGAGAGAGAGAGCCCCTAGGCAGTGATTCAAATAGACGGTCTCGTACGTTTCCTCCTCCTGCGATAAAGCAATAAGTACTCTCCGTATCCGCGTGAAGAGATTGGAATATTCATTCCAAAAAAAGTTGAAGAAGTCGAGTAATCTTATCGCTAAACGAAGTTTCGAAGTTTTATCCCTCGGTCCTTCTTATCGCTCGAGTACGTAAACATTGTTAAATTTCTACAACCGAGAATTATCTCGTTACGTATACGAGATATCGTAAAGAGTCAGAAACACTTCA